GGAAAATCGTGTGAAAAGTGCACCAAAAATGACCGAAATTGGTCAAAAATCATCAGAAAACGCTTTGAAAATAGCTGAAAATCGCCTAAATCGTCTATATTTCAAAATGCTCTGAAAAAGACCTTAATTCGCTCAAAAATGCTCTAAAACTGACGGAAATCATTGATTTCTTCACGAAAAATTGTCTGAAATAGACGAAAAATGATTAGAATTCAGTTCAGTATCACTAGAAGTCTTTAAAATTTAGAAATTTAACTGAAAATTGCTGAAATTGGTATAAAAATAGACTGAAAAATGGTCCAAGATCTGTGAAAAAATAGACCAAAATTCGTGAAAAATTCTCCGAAATATCTGAAAAATGGACCAAAATTTATGATAAATGCTCTAAAATGGCTGAAAATAGCTGAAATTGGTCTGAAAATGATCATTTCCCGTCCAAAATTGACTCAAAAATCGTAAAATTCGAATTTCAGAGTCGCTGTCACCAAATCCCCTGTGATCTTCATCGGAACCGGAGAGCACATTGATGATTTTGAGATTTTCAAACCGAAATCTTTCGTTCAAAAGCTGCTGGGAATGGGAGATATCGCTGGTCTGGTGGATATGGTCAATGATATTGGCATTTCGGATAACAAGGAGCTCGTTGGACGTTTGAAACAGGGTAAGGAACGGAAAATGACCTAAAAAGGCTGAAAATCGACAAAAAAAATAACCTTGAAAATGGTCAAAAATGTGATTTTTGAGCCTAAAATCAACAGAGAATGCCTGAAATTTGATGATTTTTGAGTCCGAAAACTCCAAATTTCAGTTGAAAACCCCTTTCAAAACGCCTAAAAATCAAGATTTTACCCTAAAATCTGACAAAAATGGCTCAAAAACGCGATTTTTGCACTAAAAATGGCTGAAATCGCTGATTTTCAGCTGAAATTCCATCTTTTTCATCCTAAAACGACCATTATTTCAGGCCAATTTACTCTTCGCGACATGTACGAACAATTCCAGAACATTATGAAAATGGGACCATTCAGTCAGATTATGGTGTGTTTTTTCGGCTTGAAATCGTTATTGTCAGGAGAAAATGGTCCAAAAAACCGAAAATTTCAGGAAAAAAGGCTTTTTCTAGCCATAAAATCAAGATTTTTGAGGTTTTTCTCTGTTTATCTGTGTATCCGGATGTCCGCACACTTAAGATTGCTTTGAGACGTTTTTAGAGTCATTTTTGACACGATTTTAGACCATTCCTCGCCTATTTGGACTCACTTTTTGAAAATTAATTTTCCACCAATTTATGCTTAAAATAGGCTTAAATAGGCTTAAAAAAGGCTTGATTAAGATAAAATAGGCTTAAAATGGGCCGAAAATAGGCTCAAAATAGGACTTGAACAGGCCTAATATATGCTTAAAATAGGCTTAAAATATGCTTAAAGGTGGGGGGACAGGAGATTTTTCGTAGTTTTTTTGTAGCTAGAGTATGCATTCTACCGTCACGGTGTACAACGCTTAATGTCACTCTGCGTACAGCTGTCGTCCTCGCCTTTATGTATGCAATCGGACGTCCGCTTTCTCTTTGCCCGCGTGGCTCAGTCGATAGCGGCGCCGCACCCTCAATCCTCACCCTCACAAGTTCAACTCCTCGAGGGGCATATTTAGACGGAATATCAAGAACATTTTTTTTTCATGTCCCCCCACCTTTAAAAAAGCATAAATTAGGATAAAAATAGGCTCGAAATAGGCCTAAAAATAAGCTCAAAATAGGCTCGAAAAAGGCCTGAATATGGTTTAAATAGGCCTGAAACAAGCTTAAAATAGGCTTAAAATCGGCAAAAAATAGACCTAAATATGCTTAAAATGGGCTTAAAATAACCTTAAAATAGGATTTTAAACAGGCTGAAATTGACTTCAAATCGCTGGAAAATCGTCAAAAATAGGCTTAAAATAGGCTGAAAAGTGGACCTTAAGCTCAAAAATAGGCTTCAAATAACCTAGGAATTGGTAAGAATAGGCTCAACGTAGGCTCAACGTAGACTTGAATATAGGCTTAAAATGAGCCCAAAATATGCCCAAACATGCTTAAAATAGGCCTAATAGGCTTAAAAGTGGGCCTCAGGCATAGAAATAGGCTTTAAATAACCTAGAAATATTCGTCGGAAAAGCTTGAAAAGAAGCTGGGCATAGCCTCGAAATAGGCTTTAAAAAGGCTTGAAATAGGCTTAAAATCGCAGGAAAATGGTCAAAATAGGCTGCAATAGGCTATTTTTGACTAGTTGCAGTCAATTTAGGTCATTTCCAGCTTGTTTTGAGTCGATTTACGGCATTTTTAGACCATTTTTAGTCAATTTTGAGTGATCTATTCGTTTATTTTGACCCAATTTTGAGCTGAAAACGTCTTTTTTTGCAGAGCATGATCCCCGGATTCGGACCGGAATTCATGAACAAGGGAAACGAACAGGAGTCGGTGAATCGTCTGAAACGAATGATGACAGTGATGGATTCGATGAGTGATAAGGAGTTGGATCATCCGAAAGCATCCGAGCTATTCACAAAGGAGCCGAATCGAGTGGCACGTGTTGCCAGAGGATCTGGGTGTTTCCAGGTAGGGAATTGGCTTTAAAAACAGTGAAAATGGGCGAAAAAGACTGAAAATCGAGGATTTTTGAGCTGAAAATCATGAGAACTAAGCTAACAATGACTGATTTTGACTGAAAATCGACGCATTTTGAGCAGAGAAATGAAAAAAAAACAATGGAGGAATGCGAGCAAGAAAGACTGAAATGTGAAGAATTTCGAGCCCAAAATGTCTAAAATTGAGCAGAAAAGACTGAAAATTGACGAATTTCGAGCTGGAAATCATGAAAATTGAGCGAAAAATCGAGCCCAAAATGTCTAAAATTAAACCAAAAAATTCCATTTAAAAAAAATCGAGCTAAAAAAACAAAATTTTGAAAATGACTTAAAATTGCTGAAAATGAGCAGAAATCTCTGAAAATCCATGATTTTTGAGTTTAAAAATTGCAAAAATCGAACTAGAAATGGCTTCTGAAAACGTTGCTCATTCCTAAATTATCACATTTTAAGCTGAAAATCATAAAATCTGAGCAAAAAAGACAAAAAATCGCGGAAAAACGCTGAAAATCGACGAATTTTCAGCAAAAAATCATGGAAATTGAGCCAAATATGTCTGATTTTGACTGAAAATCAGTAAAAATTGAGCTGAAAATGACGTATTTTGGCTGAAAATCGTCGATTTTCGAGCCCAAAATGTCTAAAATTGAGCCAAAAATTGCCCAAAAAGGCTGAGAATTGGCGAATTTTGGGCTAAAGAAGGATTGCTCATCCTTAAATTCCTAATAAACTGTAATTTTTGGAATTCCAGCAAGAAGTACGAGACCTGCTCAGTCAATACAAGAAATTCTCGGATGTCGTCAAGAAGATTGGATCGATTAAGGGATTGTTTAATGTGAGGTTTCTTCTGTTTTTTTTTTGGCTGAAAATTTGGCTAAAAATCCATATTTTAGGCTGAAAATAGCTGAAAATTTCGAATTTTTGGATTAAAAATTGGTGAAAACAGCTGAAAAATGCATATTTTGAACTGAAAAAAGCTGAAAAATAATTTTTTTTCCCAACGGAAAATAGGGAATTAAAGGTTTTTTTTCTAGAAAAAATGACGATTTTTAGAGTGAAAATCTCATTTTTGGAGTTTTTTCCTAGCTGAAAATTGCTCTAATTTTAACGATTTTGGCTGAAATTTTTTGAAAATTTTGAATTTTTAAACAAAAAAGTAAATTTCCGAGTTTTTCTCTGAGCAAAATGAACCAAAAATTTGAATTTCCCGCACAAATTTAGCCTTTTTTTGTTTTCTAAATGGTGGCCTAGAAAATTGGAAAAAACTCGGCCACCGAAGTGATTTTTCATGAAAAAATCTGATTTTTCACATTTTTAAGTTTGGAATCGCATGATTTTAATGAAAAAATCCGAAATTTCAGACTTTTTTCTAGCGGAAAATGGACTGAAAATTATGAAATTAGGGGTTTTCAACTGAAAAATGCTGAAAAATCCATATTTTTGGCTTAAAATTTGGCTGAAAATCGACATTTTAAGCTGAAAATTCCCAAATTTTGCAGGGCAACAATTTGACGATTTTCGACGACTAAAAATTGGCTGGAAATTGTAGAAACATTTGAATTTTTGAACAAAAAAATAGTGTATTCTGGTGCAAATTTATTTTTTTTTAAAAAGTTGCATAAAATCTTCTAAATTCAACCAAAAACATTGATTTTCTAATTTTTTGAGAACAAAATGAGCGCGAAATTCGAATTTCCCGCCCAAATCTAGCCTAGAAACCATGAAAAACGGCCTAGTGACCTAGTTTTCCAGAAAGAAAAATCGGCCACCTGGTTTTCGAACTAATTTTTCATGAAAAAGTTGATTTTTCACATTTTTAAGTTTGGAATTGTATGATTTTAATGAAAAAATCCGAAATTTCAGACCTTTTTCTAGCGCAAAAATGGACTGAAAATTATGAAATTAGGGGTTTTCAACTGAAAAATGCTGAAAAATCCATATTTTTGGCTTAAAAATTTGGCTGAAAATCGAGATTTTAAGCTGAAAATTCCCAAATTTTGCAGGGTAAAAACGGCGATATCAATCCGAAGAACATGAATCCGGCGAAGATGGCTCAGTTGAATCAGCAGATGGCAAAAATGATGGACCCCAGAGTTTTGCAACAAATGGGCGGAATGGGCGGTCTTCAGAATATGATGCAGCAGATGGCGAGGGCCGGGAAAATGTAGAAATCGCGGATAATTATTGACTCTTTTTTTGTCATTTTCAGCTCTTTTGGCTCCTCAAAAAATCCCCAAATTTCTGTTTTTTTTTCTCCTCTTTTCCCCCCTTTTATCCTTTTTTTCAGCTGTTTTTGGCCTATTTTTGAGCCCCAAAATCTGTATTTTTCCAGATTTTCCCCCATTTTTCTTCCTTTTCAGCCCAAAAAATCTCCAAGTTTCTCTATTTTTTCCCCTCTATTCCCCCCATTTTTCAGCTATTTTTGGCTCCTAAAAACAATGTTTTCCCCCCTTTTTTTTTGTCCCAAAATCTCTAATTTTAGCCCATTTTCAGCTATAATCGAACCCAAAAATCGCTATTCTCTTTGTCCTAAAATCTGTATTTTTTCCAGATTTTTGACTTATTTTGTCGCCATTTTTGGTCATTTTAGCTAATTTTTGGCTCCGAAAAGTGCTGTTTTTCTTCTTTTTAGTCCCAAAATCTCTATTTTAAGCCTATTTTCAGCTATTTTGGCTCCAAAATCCCCAAATTTTGTATTTTTTTGTTGTTTTTTGGTTAGAAAACTCACCATTTCTGGTCATTTTTAGCTATTTTTAAGTCCAAAAATCGCTATTTTCCTTCTTCTTAGTCCCAAAAATCCACAAATTTCTGTATTTTTTCCCCTATATTTCCCCCATTTTCAGCTATTTTTGACTCTAAAAATTGCTTTTTTTTCATTCCAAATTTTGAATTTTTGCTATTTTTGGGTCCAAATATTACCGTTTTCGGTCATTTTTGGCTCTAAAAATGACTATTTTTCCCTCTTTTTAGCCCGATTTTTTCAGCTATTTCTGGCTCCGAAAACCCCCCAAATTTCTGTATTTTCGCCCCCTTTTTTCCCCTGCAATTTGATGTTTTTAGCTCGTATTCTGTGATTATAGAACCTCTTAATCAAAAAAAAAACTGTCCTCTTCCAGACCCCAAAAACTTGAAATTCTACTATTTATTGTACTTTTTTCCCCTTTTTTTTCGAATCAAAAAATATAATAATTTCCTTTTTTTTCACCCATTTTTTCGAGTTTTTCGCCGTTTTTTGACGATTTTCCGCTATTTTTTTGGGTTATTTTCAGCCTATTTAGACAGATTTTCAGAGAAAAATGCCGCCAAAAACGAGAAAAGCGAAGAAAGAGGACGGCGTCGAGCAGGACGAAGAAGTCGCTGAGGAGATTCTAGAAGAGACGAAACCGGCGAAACTCCCGGAAACTGATAAGGGATATGAGAGGAAGATTGTGGTGGCGAAAGGTAGAGGATTATCTGAAAATGGTCCAAAAAGACCCTAGATAGGTCTTGAAATAGCTGAAAATGGTCGAAAATCTGCTTTTAATGAACATGTTCTAGAAAATTCTAGAAAGTCTTGAAAAAATTGAAATTCGTGTTTCTAGAAAGTCTTGAAAAAATTGAAATTTGATTACTGTAGTTTTCGAAAATTTCTAAATTCCAAACTACAGTAGAATCAGATTACTGTAGATGTCGCGATTTAAGAAGAAAAAAAGGTCAACATGGGATTTTTTGAGGATTTCTGTAGCTCAGGATACGGTAGTTTTCAATTGCAAAGGTGGATGTGGATTACTGTAGTTTCTGAGAGAATAAAAAAAAATTTAGGATTACTGTAGTTTTTGAAAATTTCTAAATTTCAGAATTTTCTAGAAAATCTGAGAAATTTCCAGTTTTTGATACTGTAGAAAATCTCGAAAAAAAGCTCTAAAGCTGAGCAATCCACAATCTAAAATTGCTCATTCTAAAAGAAATCCAAATTCTTCTATTTTTTCAGCTGGAAGTCTTCCAAACAGCCGTATCATCAAGCTACGTCATCCGAAAGAGGGATGTGCACTCTTCAGAATTTCAGAGGACAATTTCGATGAGGTTAGTTCAGAAGAAAAGCTCTCATTTTGATAAATTTGCCACTCCCAGGCTCGTTTTACCCTAAAAAGTCACTCAAAATGGTCCAAAATTCGTCAAAATGGTCCAAAATCCGTGAAAAACGATCTGAAATCTGCGAAAATGATCCAAGAATCACTAAAAAATCGTCTAAAATTTATTAAAAATGGTCCAAAAGCCTATGAAAAATGTGAAAAATAAACAAAAATTCGTCCAAAATGATTCAAAATCCATTAAAAAGTGGACCAAAAATCGCCAAAAATGACTGAAAAATCCAATTTCCCCCCAAAAAATTTCAAATTTTCCATTCAGATTCTCGCTATGATGTTCAACTAACCGTTAGTTGGAAAAAGTGGGAGTTTTAAAAGCTGGAAAAGTCGAGAAAATAGGCAAAAATCCATATTTTTGCCCGAAAATCTCGAATTTCGTTTTTTTTTTGAGCCTGAAAATCGTATTTTGAAGTTTCTAAACATTAATTTTGTTTCAAAAACATACTTCGTTGAGTAGAAATGATCCAAAATCGATGAAAAATAATTCCAAATCCAAGAAAAATGGTCCAAAATCCAAGAAAAATGGTCCAAAATCGATGAAAAATGGTCCAAAATCGATGAAAAATGGTCAAAAATTCGTGAAAAATGATTCAAAATTCATGAAAAATGGTCCAAAATTCATGAAAAATGGTCCAAAATTCATGAAAAATGATTCAAAATCGATAAAATATGGTCCAAAATTCATGGAAAACGGTTCAAAATTCATGCAAAGTGGTCCAAAAACCGCTAAAAATGACTGAAAATCCAATTTCCTCCAAAAAAAAACCCAAATTTCCATTCAGATTCTCGCTGTCAACGACGGTCACCGCTCGTTTTTCTACGGAGAAAGTGTGATTGAGAACGGCACGATTCACGTGTTCGCCGCCTATAATCCCATCTTCATCTGCCTACCGTACCTCGAGAAAATCGAGTCGAAATTTGTGGAAATCGATGAAATTCTGAAGGATGAGCAATACGAGGATATCAAAGAATTGGCTGGAAATCAGAGAGTTTTGAGGACTTTAGAAGTGATTTGTGATGTTAAAGGTGAGGGTTTTGGAGCTGGAAATGGCTGAAAATCTGAAATTAGACATCAAAAATTGCTCAAAATGGTTTGGAAACGGCTGAAATCGATCTGAAAAGTCGGAAAATTGTTTCAAAATCGACCCATAATGAGCTAAAATTGACTAAAAATAGCTGAAAACGGACTGAAAAGTCTGAAAATGAAGCTCAAAATGTTCGGAAACAAGCTGAAATAGCTCCAAACTGAGCTCCATAGAGCTTGAAAATGTCAAAAAGTTGACGGAAATGAGCTAAAATAGCCAAGATTAGGTTGGAAATGGCTCAGAAATGAGCAAAAATAGGCTCAAAATAAGCTGAAAATGAGCCTAAATAGTCTGAAATTAGGTGTAAAATGTGTCAGAATTGAGCTAAATTTGAGCTTATTATAGATTAGAAATAGTCGCAAATATGCTAAAATTGGCTCGAATAGCTCAATAAAAAAAAACACCCAAAATTGCTCGAAATCGATCAAAACAGGCTGAAATTGCCAAAAAAAATGGAAAGAAATGGTCCAGTTTTAGTCCTGAAGGGGCCCAAAAATCCAATTTTCTCATTCTTCCAGACGTTCTGAATGTGAAGCTGTTCCGTCTGAATCGTCAAAAGATGCTCGAATGGATTTCCGGAAAATTCGAATCGCTCAAAAAACAAATGGAATCGGATGCGCATAAATCTCTGCTGGATTGTGGTAAGGATTACTGTAGGGATTACTGTAGTTTTTGCAACAAAAACGCTCGAAATTCCACGTTAGATGGGGGATTACTGTAGACGACAGTAAGATTTTGACCGAGTTTCACTAGTTTTTTGGCAATTTTCAAGATGATTTCAGCCCAAAATCTAGTAGGATTACTGTAGTTTTAGAAAAAAAATTCCCACGTTGTATGGGGCTACAGTAAGATTCTAACCAATTTTGACCGATTTCACATTAATTTCTTGCTCTTTTTGAATTAATTTCAGCGCACAGAAAGTTCGGATTGGATTACTGTAGGCTACAGTAAGATTTTTGACCGTTTTCACCTATTTTTTAAGCTCATTCTCAGATCTTTTTGAAGATTCCTGCCAAATTATAGTTTTGAACTTTTCAAATTCAAGAATTAATTTTCGAATGACTCTGGACCATTTCTAGTCAATTTTCGACGTTTTTTGACGAATTTTGGGCTGATTTTCAGCGATTTTCAGCCTATTTTAGTCCATTTTCAGTCAATTTTGACCACCGAAACTTTAACACTAGCAAAATCAATTTTTGGTTAATTTTGAGCGATTTTTGACTATTTTCAGCCAAGTTTTCAAATTATGAGATTACTGTAGTTACAGTAAAATGTTGACGATTTATGGCTTTTTTGATTTTAACTGAATTTTGGCCAATTTTTAGTCAATTTTCGACGTTTTTCAATGAATATCGGGCTCTTTCAGCTATTTTTGAACCGTTTTTGAGCTATTTATAGTCAATTTCGAACAATTTCTGCATATTTTTAGCTATTTTCAGTCAATTTTTGAATCCCGATCCACAGGTTTTTTGACTCAACTTTTAGCATATTTAGACGATTTTTGACCGAATTTTTGCACCTGAAACTGCAAAAATCTAGTTTTTAGTGAATTTTTGACATTTTTTGACGCATTTTTGGTCATTTTTTAGCGATTTTTGACTATTTTCACCCAAATGTTCAATATTTGAGATTACTGTAGTTACGGGTAAACTGGTGACGATTTATGAATTTTGAGATTTTAACGGGATTTCGGACCGTTTATAGTCAATTTTCGAGGGTTTTTGACACATTTTAGACGATTTTGAGCTATTTTGAGCGATTTTAGAGCTATTTTCAGCCAAAATCATATTATTTTTAGTCAATTTTGAGTTCTGAAATTCTAGAATTTTTGTTCTTTTTGAGCAGATTTTGACCGAATTTTCAATATTCTCGAATCTCCCATTTTCAGCGGAAGCCTACGATCGTCACGTCTTCACGTTCCTCGCCGACTTCCTCTCTCCAGAATTCTCTCAAATTGTCAAAAATCACCTAAAAATTCAAGAAGCGACGTCATCTGAGAATGTGGACATGAGTATGAAACGACGTGCCACCGAGGAGGACGAATTCTTTGAAAAAGAGAAACCAGCGGCCAAAAAACCAAAAGAATCGATTCAGACGAAGAAACTACAGGCGGCGTCGAAGGGAACCAAATCGATTTCCTCATTTTTCGGGAAAAATACCAATTAGGAGGCGAAAATGGCGATTTTTGAGTGAAAAAATGGGAAAAATCGGGAGATTTTGAGCTGAAATTGTCTGAAAATTGAAATTTGGAAATCTTGAAAATCGCGCCTAAGGCGCACCAGCCAGCTGAGGCGCGACAAACATGCTGGTTTTGAGCTCATTTTGAAGCTCTCAAAGTGCTGAATTTTGTATGCAAAATCGGAAATCTCAATTTCCGAGCTCCAAAATGAGCCTAAACACGCTTAGAATTGAATTTATTTGGACCATAAACCCCCTTCGAATTGCCCCCAATCAACACAAAACTGAATTTTCCGATTTTAGCTGGAAAATAGTTTGAAAATCGTTGAAAATGATTTTAATTCGGAATTGGCGCAAAATTTGGGACCCGGAAACTGAAAACAAGACGTTTCCAGCTCAATTTTGGCATTTTCGGGATTACTGTAGCTTGGAAAGTACGCAAACATCGAATTTTTCGAAAATTGAGATTTCGAGCTGCTTTATCGAATTTAGACTAATTTGACTATGGGAAAAACGAATTTGGTGTTGAAAACTACCCAAAATGACATGTTCCCGGTGTTTGCGGACTTTCGAAACTACAGTAATCCTTTTTAAAAAATCAAAATTGAGCTAGAAACCCCTTCAAAACGTCCCAATTCAGACAAAACCAAAAATTTCAGATCTGTGAGATTGTGAGCTTTCAAATGAGCCCAAACACGATGCAAATCGGTTGATTTTGTTCACCCCAAAACACGCGACGCACGACCGCGACGCACCCGAAAATTAGAATCTCACCGAATCGTGGCGTGTTTGGGCTCGTTTTGAAGCTCTCAGTGTACTGAATTCAAATAATAATGTCAAAATTCAAAATTCGCTAGTTCTGAGCATCAAAATGAGCTCAATAACGACGATTTTCGCTCAATTTAGTTGAATTTTCATGATTTTTAAGTCGGAAAATCATGAAATTTTATTTTAAAAATTTGCAAAATTTGGTCCAGATTTTCAGCTCAAAATTCCCTCGAAAATTCCATTTTCCCCCCATTTTTATCCTATTTTTATGTCGAAATTCTTGATTTTTTTCTGTAATTTTATTCAATTTTTTATGCTGAAAAATTCGTTTTTTTTTCCCATTTTTATCACATTTTCTGACTGAATTTTTGACCTCTTTTACACCAATTTTTATGTCAAAAATTATGATTTTTTGTTGTTTTTTTCTCCCTATCTCTAATATTTTTTTCCAATTTGATTCCCATTTTTTTTCTCATATCGATCTTTAAAATTTCATTGCTCATACACATTCCTGTGAATCGATTAAAAAAAATACAGTATGCATTTCCTCGATTCTTTGAATTTTCAAAAAAATCTTGTTTTTGGGTCAAAAATCCCTATTTTTACCTATTTTTACAGGCGTTTTCAGAGGTTTTAGACCGAATTTCAGCCGAAAAAAATCTTAAAATTTTTCACAAATTTTTTGGTTGGAAATCCTATTTTTTGCTCTAAAAACGTTGAAAATTCGATTTTCAGACCTATTTTCAGCCAAAAATCCCATTCAAATCTGAAAATTCGAGAATTCCAGATGGCCTCTCGCCTGGCAGCATCTCGAATCGTTCACGCCGGCCGTGGATTATCGCAACCGACGGCGTTCGGAAAACGAATGGATCGATTATCGAATCGAGTTTGGGGAGAAGTGGTCATGCCAACTGACACCAAGAGTTTGAAGGTGTGAAATTGGCTAACAATAGGGGAAAAGGGCGGAAATTTGAGGATTTTTGATTGAAATTTTCAGAAATTTCTGGTTCTAAATGAGCTGGAATTTCTGATTTTCTGAATTTTTCAATTTTTCAAATTTATGAATTTTCAGAATTCCAGAATTTCTAAATTCTCGTAATTTTTCGTCGGAATTCACGAATTTCGAAGAAATTCGAAAATTCTGACTGAATTCAATGTCAGATTTGAATTTCCCATGAAAAACTACCCTAGAAACCACATTTCTCTGCGTCTCTAACTCTCAAATTTGAGTTTTCGGGTTACGGTAGCGCCGATTCTGTGCAAACACCGGACCTCACGACACAATGCACATTTCGCTCGGAACAGGTCGTTGTAAGGGTAAAAAGAGGCGGAGAACTCGAATTTTGATATGAAAACTGTCTAGAATTGATGGTCCCCCGGAAAATTTCAAAATTTCAAAAAATTCCCGAAAATTCGAAAAAATCCGGAAATTCTGACTGAATTCAATGTCAGATTTGAATTTCCCATGAAAAACTACCCTAGAAACCACATTTCCGCGTCTCTAACTCTCAAATTTGAGTTTTCGGATTACGGTAGCGCCGATTCTGTGCAAACACCGAACCTTACGACAAAACGCACAAATCACTCAAAAATAGTCGTTTTAGGAAACTCTTAGTCTACTGAATCTGTATTTTGCCACTAAAAATCGGAATTCTCAAATTCTGAGCTTCAAAATGAGCTCAAACACGACAATTTATGCTCAATTTGGAAAAAAAAATTTGAAAAAAAAAAGTTTTTCCATTTTTTTCGTAAATTTCGGAATTCTAGAATTTTCGAATTTTTAACTCAAAAATTGCCAATTTCCCATATTCCAGGTGGTGCGTGTGATGTCAGCCGAGCCATACGAGACAAAAGAGCAACTATCGCCGGAGTACTATCCGAATCTTCCCATGTTTCACTATTTGACGAAAATGCTCCGCTTCCACGGACTCTTTTTCGATGATCATGTCGTTTTTCGAAATGTTCAGGACAATTTGAAAACGATTCGCGGAAAAGTGGTCCGTCCGCCGATTGGACAGGGAAAACGCGCTCAATTGAGAGGGAAGAAATAATCGATTGTGTGTTTTAAAGGATTTTTGAATTTTTTTTTTGTTGGTTTTTTAGTAGAGTTGTTGAATAAAATACGTTTTTTCAGAAAATTTTCAGACTTTTTCCCAGAAAAAATGAGCCATTTTCAGCGATTTTCAGACAATTTTCAGCCAAAAATGAAATTTTCAGCCTAAAGAATTTTTTTCGAGAATTTTGAGTATTTTCAGCACCTTTTTCAACTAGAAATTAGCGATTTTCAGCGAATTTTGGCCAATTTCCAGCCAAATTTGACTGAATTTGAAGTTTTCAAGATTTTGCTTATTTTTGGGAGTTTTTTCTGGAAATCTCAGTTTTTATTGATTTTTTTTACAAATTTTCCATATTTTCACCAAGTTTTTCGACTGAAAACAAGTGTTTTTCAGCGATTTTAGGACAATTTTCAGCCAAATTAGACAAAATCCGGAAATTTTGAGATTTTCACGGTTTTTGACTATTTTTTATTGGAAAACACAGTTTCGGATAGGTTTTCAATGAATTTTCAATAATTTCAGAATTTTTTCGAACCAGAAACTGGCCCTTTTCAGCCAAAATCGACCAAAAACTGAAAATTTAGATTTTTGAATTTTCGATTTTTTTTCTTGAAATTTTAATTTTTAAAGAGATTTTTTAATGAATTTTTTATATTTTCACCAAGTTTTTTGACTAAAATTAAGTGTTTTTCTGCGATTTTCGGCTAGTTTTCAGCTGAATTTGACAAAATCTGGATATGTTGAGATTTTGATACTTTTGAGAGCTTTTTTTCTGGTAATTTCGCTTTTTTTTAGATTTTTAATGATAAAATTCGCATTTTACACATTTTTCTGCCTTTTTCGAACTAAAAATCAGTGATTCTCAGCGATTTTAGGTCAATTTTCAGCAAAATCTGAACAATTGGCGAGTATCGATGTTTTTACCCATTTTTCGATTTTTTTTTGCGAAATTTTCGAATTCTACATTTTTTCTGATAGTTTTAAATTAATTTTACAGACAGAATCATTGATTTTCAGCGATTTCAAGCCCGAAAATCGCTGAAATTTCCGATTTTTCGCAATTGTCCAATAGAGCGCACTTGCACCTCCAAGCCAATTTTTGAACAGAATTTCTTCGATTTTTGGCGTTTTTTTCCAGCGATTTCAGCCAAACAAAATGCGATTTTTCAGCGATTTTCAGCTATGAAAAGAGCAATGGATGGCAATGGAAATCAGGCGAAAAAGGCGAAAGGTTTTGGAAAAAAAAAAATTTTTTTTGGGAATTTTTTTTGTTTCAGATACCGATTTGTTCGGTCGTCCACTGAAGAAAAACGGGTCATGGGAGTCGAAAGTGAGTTTTCAAAGCTGAAATTGGTTGGGCGGGAAATTTGAATTTTTCCAAAAATTCAAAATTTTAAATTTTTTCAAAAATTCAAATTTCAAATTTCCAGGACAACGGCGATTTGATGATTTTCACACATGACGAGTGTGAGGGAAGAGCCAAAATCGCTGCTTTCGATATGGGTAAGGCTGAAAATCGCTGAAAATTTCAGAAAAATTTTTTTTCAAAAAAAACCTTTTTTTTTAATTTTTATTTTTTTCAAAAAATTTCTAAAATCAATAAAAATCAATATTATCAAACACCAAAAATCTGAAAATTCAGAAAAAAATTATATGAAAATTTCAAAAAAAAAATTTTTTTCAAATTTTTTATTTTTTCAAAATTTTTTTAAAAAAATCAATATTATCAATCAATTTCTTCATTGACCAAAAACTGTTGGAGCAATTGCTCAGCATTAATTTCTCCAGAATTTTGAGATTCAAAATTCGATTTCCCGCCAGAATTTGGCTTAAAAAGTCGCCCGAGCCTTCTGGAGCTTCTTCTGAATCCGCCACGACGTCTTCTGGATTCTGAGAATTCAGAATTCCACGTAGCATGTCTTCTAGACTGAATTCTGAGCCAGATACCATCGAATTGGGAATCGATTTCTCCTTTTTTGAGCCCAAATTCAATTTGTGGCGGACCAGGAATCGTTGGAGCCATCCGTTGCTCGCCTGGAATATTGATTTTTAGAATTTTGAAATTTTTTAAAAAATTTTAAAAAAAATTTTTAAACATTTTTTTTGTGAATTTCATGAATACAGCGTTGTAGCCACATTTTCTGGATTTCTCATGTTTTTAGCTTCAAAATGCCCCCCAGCCGCATCTCCAACAAACACACTCTCTGCCTCTTGAATTTCCACACCGTCATTTCTCAG